ATAAACCAAATGTGAATTTATCTTGATATGATCCGATAATAACTTAATTTGATATTAAAAAAAATGTTACTTTTAATAAATATAATATTTTACAAATGGAGGGTGAAACTAAAATAAGAAAACTAGAAAAAAGATGCAAGAATAAAGTAAAATAAAAACAAAAACAATGGATACCGAAAAAGAAATACATGCGATTTTACTAAAAAAAACACCATATCAACTATAAATAGTCTCTCTCTCTCTCTACATTTTTTGTATCAAAATTCATTGATCGATTAAGTCCAATAGCTACCCCTAGTTGTTTTAACCATTTCCAGTAAGTTTAAGCTTGGATCCATGTGTTTTAGACCTAAACAACAAATCCAACAACTTCAATGGTATTTAGTTCTCAGCTTTTTAAAATGATGAAGTTTGTTATCTAACTTTTCATTTTTTGTAACAATTCCCTATCCCTCTTTTTTTTTACTATTGAAGCTTGATTTATTTGATTGATTTAACATAATTATGGTTGTTTTTCATAATTTAGATTGATATATTGGTCTATTGAAAGGGATTGGAGGTTAATTAATTAATGATATATATAACAATTGAAATTTTCTTTTTTATATTGTACTTATGTATACTTGTGTTTGTGCTTAATTTTAACGTGATGAATTAATTGATGATAGACCGATATGTACTCCGATTAAATTAGGTGAGTTTAAGACTAAGGCTTTTTGGAATCATTGTCGCATCTATTCTCCAATGTGGCCATGGGCTACAAGAATTTGAAACTCCTACATTCTAACAAGATTGCTATTTTTATTTGGAAGTGGTTTAAGGGTGCATTACCAGTTGACTCTAAAATTAAGGACCTATGTATTTCGTTACTCTCTATATGTAATTGTTGTCAAAATCACAGGGAGGAGACTAAGGAGCCTCTTTTTTCAACGAGTCTAGCATTGCTAGTGAAGTGTGCGCATATTTTAGCAACATCTTTGGTTTGAGAAATTTCTTGAATTCGTTGGAGGAGTGTGTGGGAGCTTTGTTTACATCTATATTAACTCATGCAGGTATATGTCAAATTGACACTTTTTGCTTTGTGTTATGGGAAATATGGAAATATATATACAGGGCTAAGTATGAGGATGAGCCAATGCGAGCTACGGACATTATTCGACGAATATGTTTTGATCTACAGAATATGTCTATGCTATATAATCCCAAAAATCCTATGAATATGGTTGCCTAAAGTAAAATATTGATGCTTGGCATTGATATAGTGTAGCCGAAGTTTTTAAGAGGGAAATGGCTTAAATGGTAACCCCTCCTTTAGATAAAATTAAACCGAATGTGGATGGATCGGCTAGGGATGGTTTTTGTGTTGGTGGAGGTGTAATTCAAAATGATGCAGGTGGTTTTGTTGCTGGTTTTGTAAATTTTTATGGTGAGGGGAGGAATTTAAAGGTTGAATTCTTTGCTTTTCGAGATGGGTTGCCTTTATGTAGAGAGCTAGGTTTAAACTCGATCATTATTGAATCCGATTCTCCGATGGTTATCAATACAATCCTAGGACTCGGTAAGGTGCCTTGGTTGTATTCTTATGCCTTTCATGATAGTCAAAAGTTATTATATGACCATACGAGTTAAACATATCTAAAAGGAGTAGAATACGGTGGCGGATAGGTTAGCTAATGTTTCAATTATGCTTAAGATTGTGAACGAGTATAGGTCTTTCTCACATTTATCTCTAGAGGTAAAACATGTTAGTAAGCACGATATAATGGGTTTGTATAATTACGGGATGTCAACTAGACATTAAGGGTTAGGCTTCCTTTGCCCCCGGCTTGTTAGTTAGGTCGGTTTATCCCCCCCCCCAATGTATGTATTTTCATTTTTTTTATTAAAAAATTGTCGTGGTACCATCCATGTTCTCTTGAAAAAAAAAAAAACTAAAAATGAAATATCTTTAACTATATTTATTAAGTGGTGTTTTAGACTAGATAAGCTTTGAAATTAAGGGGGAAAAAAGGTAATTGGAGTTAGTTAATCTTGATTAAATATATTAAGTGAGATAGATCAAAGTAATGAAAATTATGATTTTTGAATGGAAGTGTAGAAATGAGTTTTAAGGTGAAAAAAGAAAGAAATATTATTATAGTATTTGGTGATCTAATTTGATATTAAGCAAGATTGAAGCTTGAAGAGTTGGTGTTCTTGAGTTTAAAGTTCAAACCCACAAAGAAAGTTATGGTTGCTACTATGATTTTTCATTATTTGATGTATTCTTAGAGGATTATTGATGATTCCGAGGTTTGATTGTGATAGATTTATCTTTTGAGCTAAGATTAATAAAGTTAGGGTTTTGAGACCCATTTGAAAAAAAGTATGATTTAAGTAATTTTAATTGGTTATATTAAAATTAATTATCATGGGTTAGTGATTTATGAAGTTAATTTAGATTTTAATTGACTAGATTCTATTATATGAATTGTTTTAGAATTTAATGGATTAAATTAAAATTTTATAGACAAAAGATGTTGTAAATGTTAGATTGAGCTGAAATTTTACTATGTCGTTTATGGAACTATTCTTATAATGATAAAGTATTTTAGAAAGGTTGAATATGTGGTTTATGAAAGTATTTTTGTGATGATAAAGTATTTTGAAAATGTTAAAGATGATGAATAGTAGAATATGAATTTTGAGATTTATTAGTTAATTATGTAGTAAAGAGTCCATTTAAGAGTTTATTGATTTAAGTAGAAGATTTATTGTGAATTCTTAATTTTAATGATATGAATTAAATTATTTGAGGAGGATAATTGTTAAATTGCAAATGAACTAAGGTAAGCATAGTCCAACTCACTACAATGACTTTATGTGCGAATGTGTTATGTGATTAAATAAGTCTTAGGTGTATTTTTATATTCATTTACATTGTTAGCATAGATTTAAATATTTCATGAAATATATTGAAATTATGTTATGCATGAAAGGCAAAGGTTTTGATAAAGACAATGGTAAACGCAAGGTTTGGTAAAGACAATGGTAAACGCAAGGTAGGCAAAGGTTTGAAATCATGTTATGCATGGAATGGATGAGATCTAAGGATCGAGATATTTGGAAGATGATGAACCAAAACTTTTCGACTCAAAAGGTAATTTACAATTATACCATTTTTATCTTCTCAATTTTTATCTTATTGCTAATTTTGCCAAATACATATCCCGAAATCATTTGTCGGATCTCATGGAATGGATGAAATCCAATGACCAAAATTTTTGAAATGGATGTTGTGAAATTTTTTCGATAAGAATAGCAAGACTCAAAGGGTAATTCACAACTATATAATTATTTTTTCTACTCTTTATGTCCTAAAGTATTATTCTTTTTTGACTTTTTACATAGTTCAAGAAAGACATTAATTGTTATGACACATTAGCTTTTTTTTATCTTTACTTTTTTCAAAATACCCTTCCATCCTATCAAATTTGAGTTTCAATTTTTTTTTTAAATAAATATGGAGATACTTAAGCTCTTCTTAAATCAAGGTGCGAAATTAAAATATTTTTTCTTCCTAAATTTTTTTTTTAAAAAAAAAAGCTTCAAAAGATCAATAAAGAATTCTAAAATTTTCCATAAAATTTTAAGGCAAAATATTAGTTTCAAAATCAAGGTGTCAAATCAAGATTTTCAACCATTCAATTTAAGTCGGAGATTTTTAGAAAGATCTAGAGATCATTAAGCCTTCCAAACTGGTCATGAAATTTTATGCCAAAACAATTTGTCCCAAAAATCAAGGGGCCAAATCAAAATTTTTGTTCCTCTCAAATTTAAGTTAGAAATTTTTCGAAGGATATAAAGATCATTAAGGAATCAAAATTTTCTATATGAAGCTTTTATATTATTTGATTGTATAAAATAAAAGTTTCAAGAATATTCATTTTCTAGTTAGTAAAAATAAGAAATGAAAGAAAGAATTGATTAGGAGTATTTTAGAAAAGTACAATATTTAAATTTTTAACTAGACAATCATACCGGAAGAAGTATAAATAGAAAGATAGATAATTTCTTTAGAACGAGAGGAGTAATTTTTTTTTCCCAAAAATGGATTTACAAAAGATCTCAAATGAGTATCAATAAATTGTTGGTTCGAGTATAAATGAGCTAGTCTCTAAGCTAATTTTTTGACAATAAAGAGGGTTTGAATCTTGGAGTCACATTTGTTGGGAGAGGTTAAATTTTATCGTTTCGAGTCTCAAATATTATTAGTCATATCTCTTATATAGATTGGGGATATTTGGGGGAAAAAAAAGATCTCAAGTGAGTGGATTCTATAGTGTACTATTAATTTTACCAAATATATATATATATATATCACTTACCAAAACCTTATTTATATATGAATGGAATCCAACGATTAAAATGTTCAAAAGATGATGTGGTGAAAATTTTTCCATAAGATAAACACAAGTGAAAAGGTAATTCATATCTATACTAGATTTTTATTCTCAATTTTCATATGTACCTACCAAATATGTACCATATAATAAATTAAAAATTCAGACCTTATTAATCATATTTTGATTAATTTGCACAACTCACCATCTGGGGCACATTCGTAATTTTACAAATCAAGCAGGTAGCAACGTTATAGTTTCCCTCCTCTTCGAAATGCCACAAATTTCCACGCAATAACTACCAAAGATGCAAAGATGTATCGCAATATCATTACCGGTCAATGCACCATCGTCAATCGCCGTGTACGTCCAAAAATAAAGGGACACAACATTTAGCATCGCACCTAAACAGTACCATGACATGAAGAGACACCAACGTTTAAGTAACTGAACCAACTGCCAGTTTCGAAATTTTGGCCTCCACCACAATATAAATACACATTTGCTTTGTTTTGCTTAATCCTTGCATATCCATTAATCACATCAGTCATTAGCTCCTAAATAAAACAGATTCATTCTCTTTGATTTTGTTCTGAATCTCATTTTTCTGGATTCACCATGACTAGTAATAACAATAAGGATGCTCCCGCCTCCCCCGACAAGGGCAATGAGCAGCCACAACAAGCCAACAGTCCGAGGAGGAGCCGAACCAATCGAGAGGATGCTGTCACGCCACCAAGGCCAAGAGGGTCTAGGCTTGAAACTGGTGCATCTTCTACTGCTGTGACTCCAACTGCTGGTGCTACTCCATCAAGTCCAGAAAGGACTGCAGGGAGTGGTGCTGATGTTGATTCCAGTGCTGTTGACACTGCTGCAGCGCCTGGAGAAGGGTCTTCCTCAAGAAAACGATCTGGGAAGCCCCCTGAAGAGGGCAGTTCCCCAGTGCTTAAGAGGGCTAAAGGGGAAACGGATATAAATCCTGACGCTGAACCTACGTGCTCCACATGTGGCAGAATATTTTCCTCTTGGAAGGCCGTTTTCGGCCATATGCGAGCACATCCTGATCGCGGTTGGAGAGGTGCTTTTCCTCCACCGGAATGGTCTCCAGAAAAGCCTGGTGATCAGCAGGGAGATCCGAGTGCATTGCAAAGCCAATTAGCGCCAACTCTGCTAAATTTGGCGCAGGAAACTCTAGAAAAGATAAAGCAGGATCAAGGTGAGGCTGGTTCTTCGACAAGCAGAAGAAACTTTGATCTCAATACTGAACCACCGAGAGAATCTATTTCTGGATCTTCTTCGCCTAGCGATAGAGACAGTTTTGATCTGAATAAACCCCCCAAAACTGAAAAAAGTGGTAATGATGGATCATCCCAATAGACTAGGCTTACCAAAGATTTTTTTTTTTTTCAAAATTTTAATTCATGCTTATGTATGCATTGGCATAATATAGAGTGTTAATATTTTATCTGTCCATTTATCCATTTAGTGGATGATTAGCAAGTTTAGATGTACTTCTTTTTTTGTTATTTTACACAGTGAATCAATGCATGAATTAAAATTTTGTTTTATTGATTCTAACAATCTTGGCTTCTATGTTCCAGACATGGCTTTCATTAAATTCTCTCTCTCTTTTATATACCCTTCTATGTTTTTCTTATACTTATATAGTGTCGATTAAGAACATTTTTCTTTTCTGTTCTTGCTTTTTTTTTTTTTTTTCAACTTGATGATACTTAATTAGAATGGTAATAAAAAAAATATTAGGGTTTTTGTTCCATCTTACTGATCACTCTCTTGTAACTCCACAATCCACCATACAAGAAGGAATCTTAATGGTATGATCAATTTTTTAACCCAAAAACAAAGTGTCCCAGATTCTCAAATTTCTTCCATTATTTTTAGATGGAATTTACGGAAGACATTAAACAAAACGAATTGCGAGGGAGAATATATATATATATATATATATATATGATTTTTTTCCGTGAAGCCTCTATGCCAATTCAACTGGATACACAAATTGCGTGTTCGATAACTTGAGAATATTATATATATATATATATATATATATATATATATATATATATATACAGTTCAGTTTTTCTTTGTAATATGTTGTAATTGAAAATGTATGAATTAATCCAACTTCTTATTTGTCGAAGCAGAAAGCTGTTCCATTTGCTTAACATTTGGACATTTCAATCACCGTTCTTGAACTTTTAGATTTTGTGAGGAAAAAAAAGATCATTAATTATTTATTTGCTAACGTGAAAATTTTGATGAAGATGTTCACCTGCACTCTTCATGCTTGTTATATGTTTATTTTAGTTTCATTTAACAAAGTTATATGTAATTGGGCACAGAGTAATATATCGAAAGTTGCATGAATACACAATGGTAGAAGGTGTAATTTTATTCAACTTTAATGTCACTTGGTTCACCTTCTTATTGATGCAAAATTTGTTAAAATTGCTTCTTGTCAATTGTCATCCATCTTTGCCAGCACAGTTTTATAAGGGTTTTAGTGATACCGTTAATCACTGAAACAAATTTCAAGATAATTATTGAGAAATGTATATTTATAATTTCCATTGTACACAATAGGTATATAGTCTGTTATAACATTTATAGTTGGTTGTAACAAACTCATTCGGGTATATGGGTTAATGAATGAATAGCTTTTACTTAGATTCTCTCTATTCAACATGTTATCAAAGCATGAAGATTCATCATCTTCTTCTTCCCAAGGAAGCTCTTAGCATCCGAATCATACTTCTTCTTGCATTTTCCCCGAATTACTTCTTGTTAGTTTGTTCTTTACATTGAATTCATGGCGAACCCCGTAGTTACTTCTGATTCTATAAGATTTGCAGCAATAATTCAAGATGCAAATGATCCCTTATTTCTTCATCAATCGGATACACCAAATCTGACTCTTGTAACACATTTGCTTCGAGGTGAAGAAAATTATTGCTCCTAGAGTAAGGCTATGATGATTTCTTTGGAAGCAAAGAGCAATGATGGTTTTGTAACTAGCAAATGCTTCAAATCGGTATCGATTCACTCGATTATAGATAATGGAAGAAATGCAATGCTTTGGTTCATGCTTGGATGTTAAATTCAATATCCGCACAACTATTCAATGGCTTAATCTACTATCAATCTGTCGAAGAAGTTTGGAAAGACTTAAAAGAAAGATTTGATAAGCAACATAGCGCTACGATCTTCACTTTGCATAAAGAAATCAATTCATTGGTTTAAGGCAATAACAGAGTGTAGCGATCTGCTACTTATAGCTAAAGCATCTCTAGGATCAATATGATTCCTTAATACCTACATTGACTAGTGTTTGCCCAAGCTATCGCAATGAAGTCATCCAACCTTTTGTTGAGTATACACAACAACTTAAGATGATGCAATTTCTAATGGGTTTAAACAATCAATATCAACCTCTCGAGATCTCAAATTTTGTTGATGAATTCCCCGCCTAGTCATTCACAAGCTTATTCTATGGTTTCTAATGAAGAATCGCATAGGGGACTTAATTCACATCAAGAGGCACCTATCGCATTTTATTCCAATAGACATGCATATCAAGGCAAGCAATTCATTGATAGAGGTAATTGGCGAAAAGAGATTGCTTGTGATTATTGCCATGTTATAGGGCATCCTAAAGATGCATGTTATAAGCTTCATGGGTATCCAAATTCCAATAAGATGTTTTCTTGAAATATTAAGGGAAAAAGAGATGCAAGTACTAATTATGGAGGAGATAGACAAAGATCTTATAATGCATATAATGCAAGATTTGTAGGACATGATATTGTCAATGTTCACACCAGTCTAGACACATAACCGTTTGACATTACATATCGAATCACATAAATAGTGCAAACAAGCTATGTTCACCTCTTGTATTTTCCCAACAACAATACCGAAGATATATTGCATTTCTTATCCGGAGAGGCTAACTCAAGAAGAATTAATTCAAGAGTTGAATCTATCACAAACATAGTTGGTGAGTTTTTTGATAGCCTTGCCGATATTGTTTTTACTAAAGATGAATGGGTAATGGATATTGGGGCTATTGTTCACATGACTTGATGTTCGATTGCTTGGATAATCCTAAGAAATTAGCATCATATTACAATGTTAGATTACCTAATGGCAATAGAATTCAAGTCACCAACATAGGTTTAATCTCTTTTTCCTCCATACACCTTCGAATGTCCTCTACTTACTCGACTTCAAATTCAATTTATTATCGGTGTCTAAATTCACTGCTGTCAATAATTGTTTAGCATCCTTTTTTCTATATTTTTGTCTCCTTCATGACCTCAAGAATGAGAAGACAAAGGGATTGGTAATGTTCGAGATGGTTTATACTATGTGATGTCAAAAACATTCAAGTCTATCACACCTAAAATTCATTTTGTTTTCAAACTACCGCTTCGTTGACATTCCGAGTTTCTCAAAGGTCTAGTAACTTTCTTTGTAATAAAGATGGTCATAATACATCTTGTTCTTCAAGCGATGTAATACTTTGGCATAAATGTTTTGGACATATATCACTTTCTAGATTGAATTTGATTACTCGGTTTATCACTACCTTCTTCATATTTTGACTTGTTGTGTGACATTTGCTCTAATGCCAAACAAACATGACCAACATTTCCACGTAGTACATCCATCACATATTCTCTATTTGAACTCATTCACGTTGGTATATGGGGTCCCTATAAGCATCCTACATACACTCAAGAAAAATACTTTCTATCCATTTTTGAGGTTTTTTCCGTAGGGACTTAGACATTCCTTATGAAAACCAAGTCTCAAGAACTTTCAATACTATAAAACTTTTATGCTCTTGTTCAAACATAGTTTCTATGTAACATTAAACGAATAAAATCGGATAGGGGCTCGAATTCCTTCAAACCGACCGTCAAGCCTTTTTTTCTTCTAAAGGTATCTTCCACAAAACAACTATACCTTACACTCCACCATAAATGGAGTCATAGAAAGAAAATATAGACACATTCTTAACATTGCTAAAGCTCTAATGTTTCGATCTAATGTTCCTATCGGATTCCGAGGAGATTGTGTTCTTACTTTTACATATCTCATTAATATAACTCTTACACCTTTTTTGAATTGCAAAACTCCATTTGAGTTGTTATTCCGTAAATCTCTTATGTTTCATCATCTTAAGGCTTTTTGATGTCTTTGTTATGCCAAAGTTTTACCTTGTCTAGATAAATTCTCTCCTAGATCCAAACCTTATGTTTTTTTTTGGAATATCCCTACTTACAAAAAGGTTATAGAGTTTGGAATTTAGATACTCAAAAGGCGTTTATCTATCGTGATATCTTGTTTCATGAATCTATATTCTCGTATCATCCTTCTTTTATTTCACCTAATATCAATTATATTCCTTATTCTCCAATCCATAATCCTAATCCTCGTTTTTCAATGGGCTTATGATGATGATTAATCATCTTATTCCCCATCTTCATCTTCTATTTCTTATTCCTCTAATAATCCTTCGAGTCTCATATAATCCTTCTAGTTCATATCATATTTTATCTAATATGAGTCCTCTTCGTAGGTCTCATAAAGTTTTCGAACATCCCGTATAGACTAAAAAATTTTCTTGTTCAACTCTACATCAATTAACTTTAGTGCAATTAATCCTATTGTCTCATTTCCAATCATAAATTTCCTTTCTTTTAGTTCTTTATCTCTTTCCTATCCTGTCTTTATTACATCTTTGTCATCTATTAGAGAACCTATTACTTATTTCAAAGCCATTAAGGATTCTAAATGGATAGATGTTATGACTAAGTAGCTCCAAGCTCTTGAATTAAACAAAACATGGGATTTAGTTCCTTTACCATTAGGGAAGCAATCCATATATTGTAAATGAGTTTATAAAGTGAAGTTTAAATCGATAGTAGTGTTGAAAGGTATAAGGCCGGATTGATAGCTAAGGGATATACATAGCGAGAAGGCATTGATTATAGTGAAACCTTTTCCCTTGTTATTAAAATGGTCACTATTAGAACCTTCATTGCTTTAGCCGATGTAAAAATTGATCTCTTTATCAAATGAATGTTACCAATGCATTTCTATAGGGACGCCTTTATGAAGAAGCCTATATAACTTTACCTCTTTACCTTAGAACTCGGGAGGAGGGCTTGATATGTAAATTACTTAAGTCCTTTTATCGTTTAAAGTAGGCCTCAAGGCAATAGAACTCTAAATTCATCGTTGCAAGGATAACGACGAGTTACTCTCAATCAAAGAATGACTATTCCATGTTTATTAAGGTGAATGTCGGTAAGATTATTGTTTTATTGGTGTATGTAGATGATATCTTG